CTTGACCTGGGTTTGACATCTACCATCCAGCGGTCTTCCCCGTGCCCAGTTAAAGAGTGGAGTCAGTGGAAACAAATCCAAAGACCCAAAGGCCACAAGGAAGGACTCGAAATCTGCAGATGCGGACTCTTCAAAGACCAAAGTATCTAAGTCGAAGGAGTCAAAGCCGAAGGAGTCTGGGTCCAAGGTGGAGAAGCCAGCGGTGGGGTCGTCCAAGTCTTAGAGGCATGGGTTATTTACCAGTCGTGACCGGGATTAATGACGCCTGGGCCTGCCCATTCGATACCCTTGTAACTTGTTCTCGAGCTGTCCAATTTTCTCATAGTTCATTCATTGCCTTTTAATTCCGAACGGAAACAAGGAATCGTAAGCACAGCTCTCTCACTAGCAGCATAGATTCCCCGAGTAGAAGTCTCTGCGATCTAAAGATACCAGAGGAAGATTAGACACGCCTCGCCTTAGGCCTATGATCACGGAACACCATGCGAAGTTCCGCGTGGCTGGGTGGGACTTGCCTAGCCAAAGAGCGAACTTTGACATGTTAAGGAACGGCGATCCCACGCATTGATCCTCGGGCGCCTAGCATTGGTCACGTTCCTGAATAGGCGCAGACAAAGTATAAAGACCGGAAAGGGGGAATAAAGTGAAGCCCCATCGCTCCACATTACCACCGTCATTGCCATTCGAAGACAACTCCAAGCAGCACTTCCTACTTGATCTGCTCCGCCAGAAATTCGCCATGAACACATCTCTCAAGGACGGCACCTCAAAGGAGGAGACCAAGCCTACGTCGGGCTCTGCAACGACGATGACTAAAGAGGCTGCAGCGGCCACCGGTGTTGGAAATAAACAAACTGCCGGTAAGATCCCTTTCGATAATGCTATCATCAGTTTTGGTTGAGTCCTCGAATAGCAGCAGTCCGTGATGATAGCACGCGCAAGGAGGCTACCAAGAACCATGAACCCGAGGTCGACGAGGAAGAGGAAGGGGACGGCGAGGACGAGGACGAGGATGAGGACGAGGAAGAGGATGATGGCGATGAGGAGGAGGAAGAGGAGGATGTCGATGCACCTAAGTGGGAAGGGTACGTTTTCACATCTTCATGCCTTCTTGACACGAATTTCTTACACGTTGTTCAGGGGTTTGCCTCGTGCTCAAGTTAAGCGCCCCGTCGTTGGACCCAAGCCCATAAAACGATAAATCAAGAGCTAACTATAAGCGGCCACCAAGTAGTCTGGAAAGATTTCGTGGTGGTATGATTCCTTGCGTATTGCGGTTTCGATTCATTTATTTCGTATTATCCATAAAATATGTTTTTTCTAATTATAAAGTTCCTCAGTATTGGATCCATCACTGAAAGATTTTTGATGCCAAACACCACAAACACCAGAAGAACATTAATACACACCCTATATTCACGATCCTCGAACGCCATCTTCATCCATAGAGTAGGTACAACGTTGCATCCCAGAACCAATCCACTACCCCCTTCTCCTAGCTTTTGGTGTCCAGCTTTCGGTATCCGAGACGGGTCGTGAAGGCCATGTAGGAATCGGTGTTTCCTTCTTGACATTCCCTGCCTCCTCGCCTTGTCTTTGGACGCGTTGCTCTGGTATTTGTTCCGTTAATGACTTCTGAGCACTTTCAACAGAAGGCAACGTAAACGTCGCAGATGTTCTAGTTTTCCGTGGAGTTGCAGGAGTCAGGAAAGTCGGGGGTAAGACTTTCGTTGCCTCTGTTGTGCTGCTTGACCCAGAGCTGATACTTTGGTCCGCACGAGCGGGAGTAATAGATGGAAGTGGAGATGCTTGTGTTGATGGTGCAGGAGTAGTTGTCTTTCCCGCAGGTTCTTGCAGCAACGTTTTGCTCCTAGACTCTGCTGCATCGTCCAAGGCTCGTTGGGCATCTTGTTGCCGTATCCGCAGCATCTCCTCTGTTTCTGCCCGGTCTCGTGCTTCGATCATGGCTACGTTCGCCGACAAGCGTTGCTGCCGTGCCATGTCCGCTTGGAGTTCCTGCAGAGCCATACTGAACACTGGCAGGAATATGTATACAAGAAGACCATTCGACGAACCTCTAAAGTAGGTGCGTTGTTCCGTGTATGAGTGAGCCACGCTGACCATTGGACTGTGCACATGTATCGAGGATTAGTGGTTTTGAGGGAATGGTTTACAAGAGGCGCCCACACGTACTCGGGAGCCGTTTTCCACCACCAATATATTTCCACACATCCTCAGGATCATCATATTGTACAGTACGTTTTGTGCGACTTGGATCTAATAAAAATAAGTGAAAATGAGGAATGTAAATTGAAATGTCGACTTCGAATGGGATAAAACTTGAATACGAACCATTTGGTGACCTTGTTTCGAAGAATTTATTCCCTAGAAATTGAACGATGAACATTAAACATATCAGTATGTTACTGATATGCACACCTTCCAAGTCTCTGCCCACATACCGGACCTAGAAAACAAAAGACTATATAAGTTTTGAGCTCGTGTACGGGGAAGGAGAAGAACAAGATACTCACCGGAGTCCGGATGGCGTTCCAAATCCTGGATAGAAAAGACATTACTTTACGCGACTCCAGGCGTGTATTCGATATATAATTATACGTGAGTATGCAAAGCAAGCCTTAAGGATATCAGAACTGGTGTGGTCGTCGTTGAAGACGTTGAGCTGACGTCCCGACATTGAACCGTGACCATTTACGTCAGCACAGCAAATTTCGAACCCACCAATAGGAAATCATGGATATCATGTCAATATCTCCTCCAGAGAAAAGAGAAGAAAACGTTTAGTCCTATGGAAATACAGCGTCTATCTCACTACAAAACGCAACGTCAATGAAAGAAATTAGAAATCGCCACCGAGGTCGTCATCATCCAAATCCCCATCTTGGATCTCCTTGGCCAACTCCTTCTCTCTTTCCCTAGCGCCCTCAGCAGCAGCAAGCTCTTTCCGATGAGCGTTAAGCGGGTATCGCATGGCCTGGAAAAAAAAACGACATTTATATAAGCGCATTGGAACAGAAAAGCAAGTAGCAGACAACGACGCACCTTCACACTCTGGTTGTGCAGATCCAAGCAAAACGCAATACGGCGTCCAAACACCTCACTGACTTCAGGTCCGTAGGCATTCTTCTGCGTCCCACACTCCATCCATCCCTTCTCGTGCACGATCCTGCCCTCGATGACACCGTCTCGGATAGCCTTGCCCACGATGTACTCAGCGTCCTCCTCCGAGTCCAGGTTGAGCTTGACACAGATGTCGCGCAGGGAGATGCGCGAGTACGACAGGGAGAGCCTCCGGATGCCTGTCTTGATGACGTTTTGGCGGAGACGGATGATGAGGGTGTAGATGTTGTCTTCTTCGAATTGAGCGGCGTGCTTGGACAGGGTAGTTTGGAATTGAGCGAGAGAGCCCGTTCGAACGGCTGTCCAAAGAATTACGGGTTATTAAGAAAGAAAAAATATTTGTGCGAATTAGGGCATGCCTTTGACTATTTCGAAATAGGCGTTCAGAGCTTTCTCCAGCACTGGATGTCTGAACAAGGTTCGATCCGGGATATCGCCCATGAGCAACTCGACAACTACGAAGTATTTATGCACCGCTTGATAGAAGCCTGGCGCTGTCTTCGCAGGTGGGGCGCGTCGGATCGCCTGCTGCAAGTTGGTATGTGCTTCGGTGTAGTTGAGCTGCACGGCCCTAATACGACCGAGGTAATAGTGGTACCGGGCGAACTGGACGTTGCTCGCCGATGCAGGGAATGTGGTTTTGGAGACCAGTTTGTCGGCTTGGTCGTACAAGTTGTAGTTGATGTAACTTCGTAGAAGGCAGTTGATCAGTGCTGCATGGGCTTCGTCGTCGTGGCGGAGGGAGGCCGTCCGTTGAGCGGCAAGGAATAGTCTGCAGTATATATGAGGTTGTCGAAACGGCTCATAGAAAAGACAAAGACTCACGGTCGTGCATCAGAGAGTTCTCCAGCCAGTTCATACGCACGGTCAACTGCAAACCATATCTTGGCAGCAATAGCATCCATGCTACGGCGATTCAGAGCTTGCATTTTCTCCACTGTCTCGTTCGCGAGTTCCAGAGCCTTCTCTTGGGTCTCTTCCGATGTAAGCAGGTGTTGGAGGATGAGGAGTCGAAGGTACATCTCGGCTTCAGGCACCAGCTCAGCATACGGGACCTTGGTCGACAAATCTACATCCATTGACTGATCCACAGCAGGTGCAGAAGGAAGCCATGCAAGGAGTGATTTCTTCACCGAGTTATCTACATGCCAGTGTATTAGCAAAGGATCACAAAAGAACCATGGTCAGAAAAGCACGCCTTTATTGTAGATACCCTCGATGGCATTGCGTAAGACAGAATCATCGACGCGTTTGCGCAGGGCAGTCAAAGTGCGCAGAACACGATGCGTGAACCGGGGCTCGAGGGTGGTCACCGCCCGGTCGATGAGCGCGACGTTATTCTTGATTTCTGCGACAGGAGACAACGGTGTAGGTTTCTGTTCTTCTGTCTTCTTCTCTTCGGACATCTTGTCCTCTGCGGGTTTCATTTCAACGTCGGGCATGGTGGATGGTGGAAGAGCAAGAGTCTGTACGTCAGGACCGAATTTAGAGCGAGGTGACGCGTCGCGTTCGAATACAGGATTCGTGCTCTGGTACTTATAGTTATAAATGTCAGATTTATGTATGGTCTCGATAGCTAAGTGGTATAGCATGCGATTGCAGTGAGCTAATCACATATCGCAGGGTCCGGTGTTCGAACCACCGTCGGGACTTGTTGTTTTCGCTCTTTTTTTTTTTTGTGAAAAGCGTCACGTCAAATAGAATCCATCTCCTCCAACCGCGAAGAGCATGGAATTGTGAACGAGGAGGCAGCAATAGTTCGCTGCCTATGTTACTGTTTCTTTATGACTTGGCTTTTACTGTCTGCTAACAAGATTGGTACCCTTGCCTATGTTAGATAATAGTGATCACGGTGCGTCGTCTCGATAGCTAAGTGGTATAGCATGCGATTGCAGTGGGAAACCAAATATCGCAGGGTCCGGTGTTCGAACCACCGTCGGGACTGACTGTTCTTTTTGCTTCTTACGCTGCACATTTTGAACACAAACCATCTTTGCTACATATTTTATCTCTGCAAACTTGGGAACCTATTTGCGACTCTGGACCTGAGATGAAACCATAATGATGGCAAATTGAAACAGACGGAGGCAATTGCGCTCTCACGTGGCTATCATGCAAACACGTCAACAGCGGAATTGGCTGTAACTTGTTCTCTCTTTCTTTCTAGTCACAATGTTTTCTCTATTTCCTGTACTGCTGCTAGCTCTAGCGGCGCAGGCCTCGGTCTTGACCCTCCAGTCCCCTCGTTTCACAGTCACAGACTCCACAGGGTCCCAGTTGCGCTCAGAACCGTGCGTGGCGATCATACCAACTCTTCTGGTCTTAGACTCGTACTAATCGAAGAATCATCCCTTGGTATTGTGCAGAGTATCATTAGCGCATAAGGCGTCGACGCCAGTGCAGCTCGGTGCGAAAGATACCCTCAAGCTCACGTTCCAAATCGTGGACAAGGATAGCGGAAAGGGCGTGCAACCGCATCAGACATTCCTCAGGTTCTACGATGAAAAGACGAACGAAGAAGGAATCCAGCCAGTGCGCGTTACACCGGGAGGCAAGGCAAAATTCGAGCTCGTACGTCCAGCCTATCTCTTGTCGAGCGAGTATCAGACGTAATGCTGACTGCGCATTCCAGAACCCATCAAGACCACCCCTCTCATTGCCTCCTACACCCAATAGCGACCCAATAAAAGTAACCCTCATCATTGGGTCCCCTCTATACGACCCTATCTCCATTGAACTCTTCGATCTCGTCCTCCCGCTCTCGCAACCCGCGCCAGAGCACCCGCTGGAGGCAACATTCCACCCTCTTCCGGAGATCAAGCATACCTTCCGTCCAGAGCACAAGTCCCCTCCACGCTTCATCTCAGCGGTCTCCGCTGGTCTTGTCCTGGCACCTTGGGCAGTCTTACTCGGCATGGTGCGTTCCCATTCTCATATTAACCGCAGAACTCACGTTCATTGATGACACATATAGTGGTCCCAAGTCGCACCGCTCCCTGCGCGTCTCTTCTCGCCCAGCATATTGCCTTTCATCCTCTCCCTCGGCGCCTTTGAGGTCCTCCTCCTCTGGTACTGGGTCGACCTTAAACTCGGCCAAGTCCTCTTGTACGGCGCAGTCCTCGCCATCCCCACGGGTTTCGCTGGCAAGCAGGCGCTTTCGAGCATCGGAGACAAACGTGTTGGCAGAAAATAGGCAGTATATACATACTGTGCACTTGTAAAAAATGTTCAATGTAGAACGATCGATTACCTATTTTGAACCTTCAAACTGTTCGTATATCGGTTGCATTGCATATAAAGTAGGAAATACTTTGCCTAAAAAGCTGTACAAGTTCGTCAGCGCCAAAGGTTTCTGCACTCGTGGTTTAATGTGTCCAGATACCGCAAGAACTGTCCGAATCTTCCCCACAAAACCTTGTTGAAGGTGTCGGCCTGACTTTTTGCAACTACATATGTAACAGTTGTATACTTGTGCGCTTAAGGTCGTGCCGCCGAGAGAACGTCAATCACGTTCCTGGAGTCCCAGTTTGGGGTTGGCGCCACACAGTGCACGCGCCTAGATTGATCGAACGGATTTGGGTGGCCTGTAATGCAATGGACCAGGTTTATGTAAGGCCGATCGTTTGCAGAAGAAATTTGTTTGAAGCTCAATGTGTAGGGCCATGGCCCCATTGCCGCCAACTTACGGCCAGAGCAGCCGACACAGGTATTTAAGTACGAGTGGCTGGGAGGGAAGACGCGTCTTGAAGCACAGGCCATTCTACTCCACCTGCTCAGTGCCACCATTTCACGATCTACCCCAACCCACCGCGAAGTTTCACCGTGATGACCAAACTGCACCTCGTCTGGGAGAAGAAGACCTATGTCCTCGAGGGCTTACCGGCGATCCCAGGAAACCAAGACTTGGCAATTGACGTCCGCGTCATCAAAAATATCCACAACAAAGTCTACACTGCACACCTTGGGCCGGAAGAGACTGACCCGTTCACCGTTATTTGCAAGCTTGGGAGAGGAAGCCATAATATCAGGAGCTTGGAGAAGGAACACCATTTCTATATGCAGGATCTGGCACACCTCCAGGGCACTGTCATCCCTCGCTGCTATGGGTTTTATAAAGCGATAGTCGACGACGTTCCCATTGGTTGCCTTCTATTGGAATATTGCATGGGAAAAGAGGTAAATAAGAAGAACGACGAAGAATACAAGTACGTGCCACAACGCCACTTCTATTATTTTCTGGTGAAAGCGATCGACCTAATTGTCAATTTGCACAGTCGTCTAGTCATGTTGGCCATTTGCAAGATTCACCAAGTAAACATCGAGCACGGGAATCTCGTACACTACGATTCCGGGAGACATATCGTCATGTCGGGCTCTTCTCCGCGAATCGTCGATTTCTCTCAGGCGAAAAGACACGACTGCCTGAACTGCGCCCCTCACAAGCCCACGGGTCGAGTCCCAGATGGGCTTCCCGCCGCCGCCTGGTGCTCAGAGCTAAGTGGGATGGAGCGGGAATACGGCATGCGAACAGTTGATCGAACCGAAGCGATAGAGAAGGCCGGACGGTGGCCTGGGATGGATGACGATGAGTGGATTACGATCGAGCAGACGCATCTGTAGCAAGGAAGCTTGATACAATAAATTTTTTGAATACCTCATGTTGATTTATGACAACTGTTTTACTCCTACACCGAAGAACGAATAATATACATAAGTAGTCCTTGTACAAATTTTGAAAATAGCCCCAAAGGCCCGGAATTGACGTCATCTCTGGAATTATCATTGAGGTGGAACTGGGAGGGGTTTAGGGAGTTTTGGGTTTGGGCTGATGGCTGGCAAGGGAGGTCCTTGTTTAAGCTGGAAGGGTTTGGTTGGTGTGAGGATGCCACTGCCATATACAGCCTTCGCAGGAGGTGCCATGAACGGGTGGGCTTCAGTGTTGAAAACGACTAGGTGTGTTTTTAATCTACGTCAGAGGATGAATAAAAAGGTGACACATCAAACACTTACAGTTATCGAGGCTGATGTGATTGGGATCGTCGAACGTGAGGAACAAATACTTCAGAACCTCCGCAAACCAGAAGCTTTCAGTGTCATCAATCAAGCCAGCACCGATATTGTTGACATCGTTCAACCCCGCAAAGCCCGTGGGTGTCATTAGGAACTTGTTGAAGCTCTGCACTGCGCTGGCAGCACGATCGAGGTACTTCGAATCGCCGGTCACGCGGAATGCATAGAAATTGGACTCCAGAACCTCGGGGCGCTGGATATAGTCGGAGGCAGTAACGTAGTACCCGTGCTTCTCATAAAAGGCAAGCTGAGCTGCGCTGGGCAAACCGTTCCCGGTAAAGTTGCCGTCAGCCGATATGTAGGCGAACGTCTCCGGACCAATTCCAGTACTAGAATTTTCATGTCAAGGAAATTGAAAGGATGGCCGAGGGTAGGACTTACGCATCGCCGGCATAGGTGTTCCAGCAAGCATCAACCAGTTCAAGTGCAATGTTGACGATGGTTTGGTTGTTGAGGAGACGTCCCCCTTTTGGAGAGAAGTCAAAATCCGCACAAAAATGTCAAGCTGTAACGCACCCAGAAGCCAATTTCCGCCATAGTAGCAGGCCAAGTGAGAGCCTATGTGAAGAATAGTCCTAGAGTCATCGAAGTCGGCTAGGTAGACGTGGTTTCCAACTGTCGAAGTCTTTAGAAATGGACATCAGATGGACGCAGAAGGATGAAATAATACGGAGCATGCATACCCTGAGCAAAGTTTTAATTGATGAGTCAACCGCAGTGTGCCATGTGTCCGCGAAGAGATTGTTATCGGTGTTGGAGAGACGCGCGTGCTTGATGAGATATTCGAAATAACTATCAGATCCTCCTCCCCACGTCTACAGTTTCGTGAGTTAATCAGCCCAATTGCAGCTCCAACTTATTTAATGAGCATAGACAGCGATACTCACGACGTAGCCCCCTACAAACTCTCCGGTGGACGGATCAATCCCCTGTGCGGCAAGACCTGGTGGTACGGGTCAGCAATGACGACGACGGATTTTATAGTCTCTTTCCTTTGCTTACCCGGGAGAGGAGAAGCCTGACGTGTCCCAACAGATCGACGGCGTTAGCTCGGTCGACACGGGAGAAGCGAAAGTGTGAGATGCTCACAAGGTTTGCAATGTGTGAAACGGACTTAAGGGCCAGGTTAGCATATGTTTGGTTTCCCGTATGCTTGGTGAGCGTCTCAAACTCAAGAGTGAGCTTGAAAAGAGAAAGGTTAAGACCACATCAAGTATCAAAATAGAGCCCCGCATTACCGTTCCGGCTTCAGCGATGTTCGACTACAATGTGTATATTTTTAACAGTTGGTGAGAGAAATTTATCAGAAATAGGTTTGGCACGCACGGTAGCAATTTGCGGGGTATTGGTTGCAAAAACGAGTTCTCCGAATGGAACGTCGTTCGACTACGTATCAATCGCAGTTAATATTATCTTCGTCCGCGGACGGTAGAAACACGTACGCCAACCCAGGCAAATGCTAATTTGTCTCCAACTTCCTTTGCCTTCTCAAGGAGTATGGGGAATTGTTGACCACTAAGCTCGAAGGCACTGAGAAGCCCTCCGAGGTAGCGGATGGTGGTCTCGAAGACGCTGAAAAGAAAAAATTACATCAGGGTACAAAGACGAGAATATGCCGACATACCTGACAGTGTCTGGTGTTTGAGATTTGCTAAAATCAATCTTGCTGGAGAAATTCACGGCTTCCAGAAACAAATCCTAGCAAACGGCATTTACTCGCCCAGAACATTTGACGCTGCAAGAGGCGGACTTACGTTCAGTCCCATGATGTGCTGTAATCGAAGACTCAGTAAAGGAGAAGTCTAGGAAGAATCCGACAGACCATAGTGCTCATTGCATCGACAATTGATGCTCCTGTAATGAATCATGAGATT